ACAATTAATGATATTAGAGATTATTCAAAACAAATTTGCACAACAGAACGGTGTGTACAAGAAGACTCTGTATTTAATACCGAGAATGAAACAACGACAATTGATTCCCCCAAAGAATTGGTAAATGAAGTTGTGTTATGTGAAACAGGTTTTGATAAAACAAATTATTTGCCACCATCAAAAAGAAGATTTGTTGGTGATGGCAAAAGAAAAAAGAAAGTTACTAAGAAAAATACAACTAAAAGATTTCTTTAAATTATTAATTTCCAAACATCAATTACATTTGAAACGTATACTATAAATAAATATAAAATAAACTATTGTAATAATAAAACATATATTTTATAGTGTTATTTTGATTCTTGTTATTTTACAAATACAGTAAAACCTCCCAAGAGCGGTACCTCTGAAGAGCGGGTTCTCCCAAGAGAGGGCATTTTTTAGACTGAAACTAAAAATAGAGTTCTCTATCGAGCGGTTTATAAGGTTTGATTGGCTAAAAATGCCCGCTCTTGAGAGGTTTTACTGTAATTATATTTATTATAAATTTAAATTAATTTTAATTATTGTGTGACTTTCCCATATAAAAAATAAACATCTTCAAGTTCTATAAATATACATAGAAACATGTTTTTATCTAAAATTGCAAGTTGAACTTTTTTGAATTGTGATTGAATTAAAATTGAAACAGATTCAATCCCAAATTATTCAATTAGTAAATATAAAAATCCAATTTATTTGACCCTTTAACTTATTATAATTTACTGGCCAAGTGTAACTAAAGTGTCTTCTGTAATATAAAGTTCTCATTGCACTTATCGTATTTTCTTTTGTTATTGCATATTTTTCAATTTGTCATTGTATTTATTGCATTTGTGTTGTTAACATTGAAGAATCCATCTCACTATTTAACACACTTTATTGTTTCTTTGTCAAAAATTTTTGGTGCAACACACTCTAGACAATCAGTCGGATTTGTGAACACTTTGCATTTCTTGCACATTTTCTCAGCATCAACTTTGTAATACATTCCTGGACAATAGTCTTTCACACACTTTTGGTATTTTCAATAATCAAAGCATCATCTTTACAAATAGTTCACTTGGTTTCTTCGTTGCTTATGTCTTGCAATTCTCAACACAAATAAAGCAAACCTTTTTTTGCAAAATACGTTTCTAAACAATCTTTTTGTTTATTTTGTCTGGTTGAAAATTATCAGTTGTTCACACGATAAACTCAGTAAATGATCAGAAGTTTCAACTAACAGAAATTGTGTCACATGTTGAACATGTTCCTTCATTAGCCAAATAGAATCCATCAAAAATAAAAAACACTTTGAGTACTTCTCATATATCTAACAATTGCTTCAGCTTTGCATTCTTATATGTTGCAGTTTACTCTTTGTGTTAGCCAAAAAGACGTTCATTAACTGTTAAACTTTTTTCGGTGTCTTTAAGCATAGTTTGTATACTAAAAGTACATTTACTCTCATCACTGTTAATAATGCATTCTGCAAAAGACTTCTTGAATTTGTGTGAAGTTATGGTTGAATCGTCGCTAAAATAACTATCATCGCACTTGTCAGAACATTAAAAAGGACTTCATTCGGATAAAAATTTATTGAAATTGTTGAAAGTTTGTTTAGATATTGAAATATTTTTTTTTCTAAAATGTTTGGTTTTAGTTCAACAAAAATTTTAAAATAAAGAACAAATTATTTTAAAATACAAACTAAATTTTTAAATAATTGGTTAGTTTTACAACAAACATCAAATTATACTTAACTATTATGACAAATAGACTTGTTTAATGGATTCATTCATTGTCTATTTATAATAAAAACAAATTGGTTTCAAAAATAATATATACTTCTAATATATTTAATGATTTATACGTTTTTAATTACTTTTGAACAACTTTAAAACAATGTTTTCTCATATATTATTCCACAATAAAAAAATAAAGTCTCT